AACACCAAAGCGCTGTCTTTGGTACTGCCAAATCGACTAACAGCAAGCTTTTTGCTACAGAGCTGAAGTTCTTCATGAATTAGTTTGGCAAGTTTGCACGTGCGGCCAAAGCGGGTCGCATTCTAGGGCGAGACCCCACTGACATGTCACCATGCGTTGCACGGGTTGCGCCAAAACGTTGAAACCAACAGGTGGCCAGCGGGCACCCGTGCCAGAATAACTTCACTTTCTTGTCTGGGCGCGCAAATTTCCTGGAGCACTGCGCGCTGCATTTGCCAGCATTCACGCGCATGCCGCCTTTTGAAAGCCCATCGCGCATAGAAGCTAACATGTTTGCCAAGGCTTGCTTTGATCTGGCCGCAAGCGCGTTGCCATCAGCGAGCGCGGTTCTACGAGAGTCGCTGCCGATGATGCCCCCGCGCCCTTCTTCTCCCGCGATTCTTTCAAATTCGCCACTGCGTTCCTGACTGCGCCCGCAAATAATGCAAGGGTCATGGGGTCTCATTGCCGAACGCCACGAATAATGTCAAAGTATATATGCTTCGAGTATTGGTGCCAAGCTGAATATAGGCCCGCTGGTCCATGTGCAAATCCAAAACGGCCCACGTCTCGTTCTCGCTGATTCCGGCGATCTGCAGACCCGCAAGCAACGCCGCGGTGTGATCTCGTTACGTGCATTTCCCCTATATGTCGAAGCCGCCCAGACCGTCTCCCCCCATCCAGTTCTAGTCTCGCTGATCATGCGGATGCGACGGCCCAAATCGCAACGCCCGCAGCCATTGCGAAAACCAACTTCTCCTGGCGTTCGGAGAGGATAGAAGATGCGATTCGTTCGCCTCGAAATCACGCTGCTGCGCAGCTTGCTCAAAACTGGGATGATCGCGACGGGCCCGCAATTCTTGGGGGGTCGTCTCGCCTGTTTCGTCGCGAATGCAACGAGAGTCTCGGAGGTGCGCCGCGAATCCGCGGCCGGGGGCGCGCCGTTGAGCAGGCCGGCAGAAACCTCCGCGAAGCCACTATCACGTCGCCACCCCCCTCCTTCGACGCCTCGGCCACCAAACCCTTCAGCGTTAGCCTTGTTCCGCTTCATTCGAAGAGTGCCCCGCGCGACGTCCACCTGCACTTCTGCTGCCAATGTCGCGCCGCATGGCCCGGTCGCCCCCGCGCTCTCCAGCGGGGCGCCATGCGAAGACTTGAACGGCAGTGCAACGACTTCAGCTATGTCTCCCTACCGGAGCGCAGGCTTCCGCCTGAATCTCGGACGCTGGCCGCGCGCTTTCCCGTTATCGGCGGCTTTGGGGGCCCGGGTAGTTCCTGCGCTGCCCCTTCGGGGATCAACTCGCGAAGCTGCTCGCTATGCCTTTCCCAATTTGGTCGCGGAGCGCTCTGTTCAAGCGAAGTGGTTTCTGTTTCCTGTCTTCTATGTTGGCGCATTCGTTCCTCGCTTTCCGCGGCTGTTTGATGAACTCGGACGTCTCCTCATCCTTCCTGGCCCGCTTCCGTACTTCGCCGCATTCTGAAGATCCTTCAAAAGCGCCTCTGTTACTGAGCCCTTGGATGCCTCGCGCAAGAGCGCGCGCGACCGGCGCATCTCTGTCCGCGGGCGCGCAGGAGGGGCAAGTCTCCTTCGCGATTTTGCTTACAGCCAGAGCCCTCCTAAACCGGGTAGTTTCCCCATCGCTGTCTGTTTCGCGGCGCCTCCAGCCAGCGCGGCCTGGGCGGCACTTGCGTTCCGCAAGGCCTGGGCGACACACTGTTCGAACTGTTGCGCTCTCAATATCTCTCCCTAGTGTTTTCCCTCTCTCTCTCTTCCCCTGTCTCTCTCTCTCTCTCTCTCTCTCTTTTTTTCTCTCTCTCTCTCTCTCTCTCTCTTTCTTTCTCTCTCGCTCTCCCATTCTCTCTCTCTCTCTCTTTCCCTCTCTCTCTCTCTCGTTTTCTTTCTTTGTGTATTTCTTATTAGTATGTCATGTCTCTCTCTTTTTCTCTCTCTCTCTCTCTCCCTCTTTTTGTCCATCCTTCCCCGTCCTGCCCCCCCCTTTCGCCTTCCTTCTTTTTTGTTTGTTTGTTTGTTCTCTCTCGTTATTTCATATTGTTTGTTTGTTTGTCTCTCTCTCTCTATATATATATATATATATCCATCTTTCTCTCGATCCTTCTCGCTCGGAAGAACGGGGCGAGGGGCTGACTATCCAGAATCAAGAGAACACATGCTCGGGATGGCTTGAAGGATTCTGGCCCGTCGGAGGGATTTCTCGCGGCCCCGGCCGGGCCCACCTCGAAGCCCCAGCAACAAAGACGAGGATCGGGCAGCAACAGCGACAGCAGGCTCCAGAGTCCGCAGCCTTCCCAGCATCGCCTTCCGACTAGAGCCCACGCGGGCCGCATCTCTGAACACCTCGCTTCCGGCGCGAGGCCCCGCCAACAGCTTCTGCACCTCGGACTCGGCCTCGCCGCGTGCGAACGAGACTCGCCCCGCGATCGGCGGGCGGCGCTTCGACGGACTGCGAAGCTTGACCCCGCAACCAGACACATCCTTCTCGCGCATCCTGCAGAAGCAGCGCTTGATATTGATTCCCCAATTGAGAAGAGAAGGCGTCCCGTCCAGGCGCCGAGGATGCGCGCAGCCCTGGCAATGCCAATCGCTGCGGGTTTCGTCCTTCGCCGCCATGGCGGCGAAGCGAAGGGCACTGAGGGATATGAGCAAGCGGAAAGAGAGAAGAGGGAAAGAGAGAGAGAGAGAGAGACACGAACGGTCGCACGCTCCACCACGAGCTCACACCAAACACTCGCTGCCGCGGATCAGCCGTATCCGTGCTCTGCTACAGGGGCACTCGCACATCCAGCCAAACATGGCTACTGAGAAGGGGAGGGCCAGCGTTCAGACCGAAGAATTCAATGGGTTCGGGCCCCGCGTGCAGCAATACGGGGGCAAAGGCGTACAACGGGCCAGCTCGGATTACCTTCAAGTGGCGTCGGCTGGCTCTGGCTGGTCCTCCACTTCCCTGGCAATCTGAGCCAGTAGGATGGGAGGTGTCAAACAACAAATGTGTGATTCAGCCTTCGGATGCCTCCCCCCTCTAACATGCGATGGGTGGAGATCTGGGCACTTGCTTTGAAAACGTCCTGATAAACAACCGTACTGCATGCGAAGTATGATGCTCGGCAGTACCGTCTCTTCGGCATGTCCGAAGAAAGAATGGAGAATGGCCTCTGGGATTGGCCGGCAGCTTAAAGTGGTGGGCGCAGTAGCCTGGGCAGTGCTCCTTGGCTCTGCGTGCTATGCCAGCTTCGCTGCCGCAGCGCTGTCTGCCTGCAGCCCAGAGCCATCCATTGCCCCATGTGTGCCACCGATGGGACCTCCTGGTCCAGATCTCGTCCCCAAGAGCCAGAGGAGGGAACGGAGGTGGAGGAACGGAGACGAGGATGATGACGATGAGCATGATGATGCTGACGACGATGATGATGAGGAGGAGAAGGAAGAGGAGGGAGGGAAGATTGGAGGGAGGGAGGGGGAGCAGGTCAGCCTCCCCCCCTTCCCTCATGATGCTCTCCCGAAGGCCTACACGAAAGACCGTTTTATTGGCCCTGCCCCCAAACTGAATCCGCCCAAAGCCTGTCTCCAAACCCTTCCCTGGGCCCGTCTGGTCAGTGTGTCAAGCTGCGTCCAGCCGCGTTCACGAGTGCATTCCAGCCACAAAAAAAAGTGAACGTGCCAATTTCTTCGACAAATCATAATGGAAATCATCCTGCGCCAGTTGACGTTGCGAATTGATGCTTGACGATCCTGGGGCCTGCACCCACTCAGAACTATATTCGAAATGAATAAACCTGGCGCGACCCCGATTTGGACAATGTTTCCTCCAGTGAATGAGCTAATTGCGGCGCCCTGCTTGCGATTATACTTTACATATTGCTTAGCACGTTCCCTGGCATTGCGCTGCATTGCATTGCTTGGCATTTCTCGGCATTGTTTTGAAGTATTTGGCAGTGCGTGACATTGAGTTGCGTTGCTTGGCAATGCATGGCGAGGCAGCAAAGAAGCACGGGCCAAGGAACCAAAACCAAGAACATAATGACAAGAAACCATTCAACCAAGACTAAGGATCCAATAATCCAAGACCGAGGAACCAAGGAACCAAGACCAAGGAGGCAATAAACCAAGGCCGAGGAACCAAAGAGCCAAGGCCAACGAACCAAGCAACCAAGGAACCAAGACCAAACCAATGAACCAAAACAATTGAATCATGATCAAGGCACCGAGAAACCAAGACGAAGGCACCCGGGCAACGCCTTGCATGAACACGAAACCAGGGACCCCCCAGGGACAGCCTTGCCAACAAAAAACGCAACTAACTAATCCCGAGGGCCGCTGGCACAAACCGCCGACCACATTGACCAGGACCCCTTCGCTTCAACGCTGAAGTCCCACTCTGTCTTTCCTCGCCGCCAGGATCTGCGTGACTACCCACCCCGCTGGACATCTGAGGAGCCCGCGAAAGTGGCGACGGATGCCCAGTTTTCAGCGCCCCAGCGAGGCGCGAGGTCCCGTAGGGATCTGCGCGACTACCCGTCAGAGAAAGCCCTGTGGGCACCTACACGAAATCTCGCCAGGCCAACCCTGGCCTGGCCCCCCCCCCCAAAAGACACCGGCCTGGCCAGGATCGGTGTATGCGCATACCCAGACATCCGACGCCGTGATTTCTTCACAACGTGTTGGCGGCGCGCACCAGGGGGTGGAGGGAGTGGGGAGGGCTTCTTAGAAGGAGGCTGCTTCTTAGAAGGCGCCTGCCTGACATCTATAGATGAGGCTGGCGCCTTCTAAGAAGCAGGGGTGCTTCTAAGAAGCCCTCCCCCTCACCCCACCCCCCTCTGCGCGTGGCTGAACGTGGCTCCACAGAGGTCTGGACCTCTGTCGGGGCCAGGCAAGGGCCCCGAGAGACCGAAAGCTGTCAAGGTAGCTGGCGTTCACCTTACTAATGGCTGCCCCGCCGCGCCACGAGTCAGTACATGTCGCCCCCGACGAGACTGTTGGGGAGATCATCCAACTCGTAACCGACCTCGGCAGAACGGCCGACAGCCAGCCGTCGTCGACGACGTCGCCACCGACGTGGGCGTGGCCGCCGCCGCGGTCGCCGTCGCCGCCTTCGCAACCTGCCGCCAGCACCAAGCGCCGGAGGGATGATGACGGGGAGGGGGAGCAGAAGACTTCTTGGACGTCTCTTGGAGCCTCCTGGGTCTTCTTGGTGGTGCCCTGAGGCCATCTGCAGCAGTTTTGGGGCCATCTTGGGTCGTCTTGTTGGCCGTCTTGGAGGGCATCTTGGATTGTCATTGGCGGCCATCTAGGCCCACCATGGCCGCGTTGGAAACTGTTTTACCTTGGGCCGTTGCAACTGTCTTAAAAGCCATCCTGTTCTCTTTTGGGAGAGAGCGCGTTTCACGGGCGCTTGCCTTGGAAACATTCGGCGGCGCGTTTCGAACCCCGGGGGGGGGCCCAACATTCGGCGCCGTCGATCGGAACCAGAGGGACCCCCCTCCCCCCCCTAACCCCCCCCTCCCCGAAGCCCTCCCCCCCTCCCCTCCACAGGGCGAGGGGGTTCGACCCCCTCCCCGGGGCCGGCGCCGGCGCTGGCGCCGGCTGGCAGCGGCGGGGACGCATGTACGATGACAAGAGAGGGACCAGAGGCCGCAGATGGGAACACACAAATCGCCACATCGAGCCCTCGCCCCCCAAAACCACCGGGAGGCTCGTTGGAAGGTGCAAGAGACGCACAACATGGACCCAGGAGGCTTCACAAATGCTCCTCAGACGCCCCCGAGACCCCTCTGACGAGACCCCAGGAGACAAAACCAAGGCACGGTGGCGGGAAGACCCGAAAGCCACACCACCACCACCACCACCACCACAAGCCACAACACCAATAACACCAACGCCACCGCCGCCCCAACCACCACCACCACAGCCACCACAACCCACTACCACCACGACCACCACCATCACCACAAACCACTACACCACCACCACCATCACAACCGCCACCACCACCACCACAACCCACCACACCACCATCACCACCACCACCACAACAACCCACCACCACCACAACAACCCACCACCACTACCACTACCACCACCACCACAATCCACCACACCACCACCTCCACCGTCACAAACACCACCACCACTACCACCACCACAACCCACCACCACCACAAACCAGCACACTGACACCACAACCACCACAACCACAAACCACCACACCACCATCACCCCTTCCACCACCGCCACAACCACCACCTCCACCACCACCACCCCAACCTACCACCACCACCACCACCACCACCACCACCACCACAAATTACCACCACCAACACCACTACAACCACGACCACCATCACAAACCACCACCACCATCACCACCACCGCCACCACCACAACCACCACTGCCACAACCACAACCACCACAAACCACCACACCACAACCACGACCACGACCACGACCACCACCACCACCAACAACACTACAACCACAAACCACCGCACCACCATCACCACCACCACCATCACCACCCACCACCACAAACCACCACCACAACCCACCAGAACCGGCCGCAACCACTACCACCACCACAAACCACCACAAAACCACGACCACCACAAACACCACAAACCCACTACCACCACCACAACCCACCACCACCACAAACCAGCACCCTACCACCACCACAACCACCACAACCACAAACCACCACACCACCATCACCCCTTCCACCACCGCCACAACCACCACCTCCACCACCACCACCACCACCACCCCAACCTACCACCACCACCACCACCACCAGCACAAATTACCACCACCAACACCACCACAACCACGACCACCATCACAAACCACCACCACCATCACCACCACCGCCACCACCACAACCACCACTGCCACAACCACAACCACCACAAACCACCACACCACAACCACGACCACCGCCACCACCACCACCACCAACACTACAACCACAAACCACCGCACCACCATCACCACCACCATCACCACCCACCACCACAGCCACCACCACAACCCACCAGAACCAGCCTCAACCACTACCACCACCACAAACCACCACAAAACCACCACCACCACCACCACCACAGCCAACCCCACCACCACAACAACAACCCACCACCACCACAACAACCCACCACCACTACCACTACCACCACCACCACAATCCACCACACCACCACCACCACCGTCACAAACACCACCACCACTACCACCACCACAACCCACCACCACCACAAAGCAGCACACTACCACCACCACAACCACCACAACCACAAACCACCACACCACCATCACCCCTTCCACCACCGCCACAACCACCACCTCCACCACCACCACCCCAACCTACCACCACCACCACCACCACCACAAATTACCACCACTTACACCACTACAACCACGACCACCATCACAAACCACCACCACCATCACCACCACCGCCACCACCACAACCACCACTGCCACAACCACAACCACCACAAACCACCACATCACAACCACGACCACCGCCACCACCACCACCACCAACACTACAAGCACAAACCACCGCACCACCATCAACACCATCACCATCACCACCCACCACCACAACCACCACCACCACAACCCACCAGAACCGGCCGCAACCACTACCACCACCACAAACCACCACAAAACCACCACTACCACCACCACAAACCACCACAAAACCACGACCACCACAAACACCACAAACCCACTACCACCACCACAACCCACCACCACCACAAACCAGCACCCTACCACCACCACAACCACCACAACCACAAACCACCACACCACCATCACCCCTTCCACCACCGCCACAACCACCACCTCCACCACCACCACCACCACCACCCCAACCTACCACCACCACCACCACCACCAGCACAAATTACCACCACCAACACCACCACAACCACGACCACCATCACAAACCACCACCACCATCACCACCACCGCCACCACCACAACCACCACTGCCACAACCACAACCACAACCACCACAAACCACCACACCACAACCACGACCACCGCCACCACCACCACCACCAACACTACAACCACAAACCACCGCACCACCATCACCACCACCATCACCACCCACCACCACAGCCACCACCACAACCCACCAGAACCAGCCTCAACCACTACCACCACCACAAACCACCACAAAACCACCACCACCACCACCACCACAGCCAACCCCACCACCACAACAACAACCCACCACCACCACAACAACCCACCACCACTACCACTACCACCACCACCACAATCCACCACACCACCACCACCACCGTCACAAACACCACCACCACTACCACCACCACAACCCACCACCACCACAAAGCAGCACACTACCACCACCACAACCACCACAACCACAAACCACCACACCACCATCACCCCTTCCACCACCGCCACAACCACCACCTCCACCACCACCACCCCAACCTACCACCACCACCACCACCACCACACAATTACCACCACTTACACCACTACAACCACGACCACCATCACAAACCACCACCACCATCACCACCACCGCCACCACCACAACCACCACTGCCACAACCACAACCACCACAAACCACCACATCACAACCACGACCACCGCCACCACCACCACCACCAACACTACAAGCACAAACCACCGCACCACCATCAACACCATCACCATCACCACCCACCACCACAACCACCACCACCACAACCCACCAGAACCGGCCGCAACCACTACCACCACCACAAACCACCACAAAACCACCACCACCACCACAGCCAACACCACCACAACAACCCACCACCGCTAGCACCACCACGACCACAATCCACCACACCACCACCACCACCACCGCCACCACCACAACCCACCACCACCACAGCTACCACAACCACCCCCACCACCACAAACCACCACACTACCACCACCGCCACCACCACCACAACCGAATTACCACCACCACCACCACCGCCGCCGCCACCACCACCACCACCAACAACCACCACACGATCGCCACCACTCATCAGCATCAGCAACACCACCACCACCACCAACAAAAACACAAACAACAACCACCACAGCACCACGGGAAGGGGAGTCGTCTTCCTCTTCCTTCCTGTCCCCAATCTGGTCCCAGGAGGTCGAACGTGGCTCAAAACAGTTTCGGAATCGATCGAGATAGTTGAGCATGGCCGAAGATGCTTCCCGACGGCCTCTAGCCGAGCAGGGCCGAACACGGCTGAACAAAAAACGACTCGGCGGCGGCGGCGGTGGGAAGGGCGACCCACTCGGCCGCGCTGTCCTTCCCCGCGGGTTGGGGGTCTCCCGGACCCTCGAGGGCACGAGGCGTTTCTTTCAGAAGCGTCGCCCTCGGAGCCAAGGGGTCCCACGCGCCCGCAAAACAGGACGGGTGTCGAACGACTCGGCGGCGGCGGCAAAGGGCAGGCGAATTGTTCGGACACGCTCTCCCCCCCCCAATGGGTTCAGGGGCCGCCGGGCCCCGGAGCCCTCGAGGGCACGAAACGCTTCCGTTGGAAGAGTCGCCCCTGGGGGCCTGGGGGAACACCGCGCCCGCGGGAGAGAGGCAGCGGGGGCCGAGCGACTCGGCGGCGGCGGCGCGGGGCAGGGCGACTCGCTCGGCCACCCCCCCATCCGCCCCCGTGGGTTCAACCCCCCCAAACCCCCGGGGGCGCGAAACGCTTCCATCGGAAGAACCGCCCTCGGCTGTTTGGGAGACCCCGAGCCAGCTCGAAACGAAGCGGTGAACGAGCGATTCGGCGGCGGTGGCGCTGGGCCAAGTGACCGTTCGCTCCCCCTCCCCCACCCCCATGGGCTCGGACACCTCCAGGGAAGCCTCTGAGGAACCTTTAGGAAAGCCTCCAAGGAGCTTCTAAAGAGCGTCCAAGGAGCCTCCAGGACGCCTCTAAGGAGCCTCCAAGGAAACCTCTAAGGAACCTCAATAAACCTCAAGAGGAGCCTCCGACGAGCCTCTAATAAACCTCAAGAGGACACCTCCATAAGGAGCCTCTCAGGAGCCTCCATGGAGCCCGAGGAGCTCGAAGGAACCTCCAAGGAAGCTGCGAAGAGCCTCTAAGGGGCCTCTAAGGAGCCCCCAAAGAAACCTCTAAGCAGCTTCTATGGAAGCCTCTGAGGAGCCTCTACGAGGCCCCCTAGGAACCTCCAAGGAGCCTCTCAGGAGCCTCTACGGAGCCTGCAAGGAGCCTATAAGGAACCTCCGAGGAGCCCCCAAGGAGCCTATAAGGAGCATCCACGGAGCCGCCGCAAGGACCCAGGAAGAAACCTTCCAACACCTTTATACTAAGCTTGAAACATGGCTGCAATTTGCCATAGGTGGTTGGGATTGGGGCCGACATGGTTGGAATCCGCCATCTGGATGTGATTCGTCGCATTTTCGGTTCGACACCTCCCTCTTCAATCCAGGGGGGGTCGGTTCCGAGCCCCCCACCTCGCGGGCCGTCTCGGGGCCACGGTGGAAGCAATTTGGGGCGCGCGGGGATGTCCGAAGCCCGAGATGGCGAGAACGGCGAAACTATTGACAGCTGCAATATATATATATATATATATATATATACACACACATATGAACGCACGCCTCCAGGGGATCTCTTGGGGCTGCTTGGAGCGTCTCGTAAGCCCCACTGACATCCTCGGTGCCATCTTGGGTCCATCTTGGACCGCGTTGGAGGCGTATCGGGGCGATGTGGGGCTCTCCTGGGGCACGCTGGGCGTCTTGGAGGCGATTCGGGACCGTGGGGGGCCACTTTGGACCGTCCTAGCCGTCTTGGAAGCCATCTTCGAACACCGTGGAACCGTATTGAGGCACTACTGTGTTCCTGGTAGGCCGTCTTCGGACGTCATCGGAAACCATTCGGGCCCGGCCGAGGCTGCGGATGCCCCCCGAGATAGCGAGAACTCTGACGCCATTGAAAACAACAAGGGGGCATCGATGCAAATGCGCCACCCGGAGCGCATGAGCTGCATGTTCCTTGTTTTGACGCAACATTGAACCGTTTTGGGTCCCATGGGCCGTCTTGAAAGCATCTTCCTGCGTCGTCGACTTCCTCCGGCAAGCAACGCGAAATGCTTCGGCACGCGCGGCGCCCCCACCCCCTGGCCATCTGCAGCCGCCAGTCCCACCCGCTACGCAAGACTGCCAATCCGATGAATCCGCAGCGCTCTGGGGAGGCCTGGACGAGCGGATTCGGGGGGGGGCGCCGCGCGGCCGAGCAGGCTTCGGGGGGCGAGGGCGCCCCCGCGCAGCTAAGCGACTGCTGAATATGCAATGAAAGGCCTGCGTCGCGCTCGCAACAAATGACGACTGGCGGGCCATGGAAAGACCGCGCCGCAACGGAACAGCGCAGCCCTCTCACTGCCGAGGGCGCCTGCTCCATGGAGTCGGCCGTCGCAGCGGCGTCGACCCCGAACGCGCTGGGGAATCCGGCTGGATGTGAATCTGGCCAGAAGAGGTGCTGCGCCATCGACGCCGCACGCAAGCAGGCACAAGAAATCAGCTCTGAACGGCGCCGCGCACGCGGAACAATCAGAGTAAATATGCTGGCCCCCTCGGGGACAATCAGGCTGCGAAGCTGAGGGCGTTCCCACTAGTGGATCAACCGTGGATCTACAAGCGGGCGACAAGTGGAAACGCAATGGATCCACGCGAGCGCCGGGACCCCATTGCGCCTCTGAGGGGCCTGTCTGGGCCGTCTCGGGCCGCCTCTGGACCTTCTCGGGCCGCCCTTCCTTGCGATCGGCTTCCTCGGGCTCGCTAACCCGGGTCAGCCAGAGGGGGTCTTCGCAGGATCCTGCAGGATCTGGTGCCCTGGCTGATCCCCGTTTGCGTTGACCCCCGTCTCGAGGCCCCCGGAGGCCCCCACCTTCCGGCCACCCGGCCATCTGCGCCCAAGCGTCGTAGGAGATCTTGGCCATGTGAATCCCGAGCTGCTCGCAAAGGCTTCCGTCGCGAAGAGCGAAGGCGCTGGGGGGGCCCTTGGTCTCCTTCTCCACGGCCACGGGGTCCGCGGCGCGCTGGCGCGCAGCTCGATCCTTTTTCGCGAGCAGGTCGCGTCGGAGCTCGGCCCAGTGCGCGCGCTCGTCGGGGGCGCTCGTCGGCTCGGTGGAAAAACTCGGGGTCCGCCCCGACCAGGCATATCTCAAGTAGCTCGAAGGCGTGGTCTGGGGCGCCCTGGTCGCGGGCGCCGACGCGGTCGTCCACGCAGTCCTCCAGCCATTGAGATACTCCACAAACGAAATCGACGCGTTGCCTGCCTTTCTTGACAGCCGACATGAGGGAGGGCATGTTCCACGTGGGCGGCGGCGTCACTCCTGCGCAATCTTGCGGCCCCGTAGGGCGCGAGATCTCCAGGTAGACCGGCGCGTGGTACGCGCCCCGAGAGGGTCGGCCTCGTAGAACTTGAAACTGGGCGCCGATGCGGCGCAGTGCGTGGCCCCGCCTGATACGTGTCGCCCAGGACTGTTGTAAAAACATGCAATCGATGAGACTGCTCGGGGCCGCTACCGTAGAATGTGGTTTCGCACTTGCTGAGAGTGCTCGCCGCCAGGTGCTGCTGCCCCAGGTTTGCCGCCGCCTTGACAGCACCGTAGTGTCGTCGCTCTCGTACTCCTGTCAGTTGCCGTCAGGCTGGCGACAGCCTGTGCCATCGATGAGGTCGGCGTTGAAGATGGGTAGACAACGGACAAGGAGTTGACACAGGCAGGTGCGCCACCACTTTACCATCTTGGCGACCGTCTTCGGGCCAGCGCCACGGCTGCGGGGTTACGGTGGGAAGTAATCCACGCCCACGCACACGCCAAAAGCATCCCGCCGGACACGGGCGGCAATGCAACAGCCGCCCAGGTCAGGTGCTGTAGGGAAAACTCGGCGAACGTGGCGATCGCGAAAGCAACGCCCAATGATAATCAAGACGCCAGCATTTTGGTTAGTATAGAGTCCAAGTGAAACTGCTGCTTCTAAGACCAGTTGGGTTCCGATCGGCTGTTGGAGAACGTCTTGAGCTTCACGGCAGGCGTTCTGGATGCCAGCCAGGAGCGTGAAATCCGTATTCCGCGTGCGTGTGGCAACCTCCAGGAGGCGGCCGCCAGTGGCCCACAATGGGTTCCTGACCAGCACCCTCAGCATCGACATGGTCGGTGGTCACCCCATCGCAGTGTGACGGCCGCGCGCCCGAGGCGCCTTGGGTTGCTTTAATCAAGTGTTCTGGCCCCGTCTGCTCGAACCTCTCGAGCCCAGGGGCTGGAGGAGGAGGAGGAGGAAGAAGAGGAGTAGGAGGAAGAGGAAGGACGACATCGATAAAAACGACGGCGGCCCAGGCAAGCCGCGTAACCTTCGCGGCCTCGTCCTCCAGCCAGTCGACCCACTCGTACTCCCCCGCCAGCTCGCAAGCGCGCGAAGCCTCGGGGGCGCCCCGCAAAAGGCCCCCACGCCCGCCCTCGGGCGGTCCACCGAGGCACCGGCAGCGGCGCAGAAGGCTGAGTATCGTTTAACTGACCCCCATCCCCAGCGGCGTGGCCTGGACCCCACTGGCCGATTTACCCCCCTAGATGGGGATATACGTCGTTCCCTTCGGGTTTCGAGGGGTGTATCCCCAACTGGGGTGGTAATTTGGTGGGGGTCTCGAAGGGGGTGGGGATGGGGCGGCGGCGCTGGCCGTCGTCGTCCTCCTCGTCCTCGTACCGTTTTTTGTTCGAGGTCGCTGCAGCCCTGCACGCTGGGGCGCGTGCTCACCGCGTCCGGGTGCCTGCGAAGCTCGCGCCCTGTCTCCCTTTTCCTGGAAGGCAGCAGAGCCCCCTCGCACGACAAGCTCACCTGCAAGCGAGGTCTTCTGGCAAACGCACCTGGGGACAAGACCGAGCAGGGCAAGGCTGTTCGGCAAGGCGGCCACGACAATCCCGCAAACGCCAATGTTAAGAGCCGGGTGGATCTTCGGCCCCAGGTTTCATCCCCCCTGATCATCACCGTCACCGCCTCCTCCCTCTGCCAACCCGTGGGCCAGCAGACGGGGAGGCGGCCTCACGCTGTGGTGTCGTTGGCGGTGGCCTCTGACACCGCGTGGCCCGTCAGATTCGATCATCATCAGAACGTGTTCTAGCGCCAACGTGTGCTTGTCCACCAAAGCTTCCCAATGTGATGGCCAACACAGGCCGCGTGCAGCCGAACGGGGTCAACACGCACTGGACTAACACGGGTCCTGAGTCGTCAGACCTTGAACGATCGTGGCTCTTTCGTTAGCGGTCGATTCTGCGCCTCCGGCGGCTCCAAGCCTGCACACGCACGCACGCGGGCCGCTGCCGCGTCAACGCGGCGCGAACCTCCCGCACGCCGTAAAGGAGGGGGAGGGGGGCCTCTCGCCCCTCCCCACGACAGGCGGCCGGTGGGAGGGACGGGCGGGGGAGGAGGGCAGGAAGGGTGGTCGTCGTCGTCGTCGTCGTCGTCGTCGTCGTCCTCATCTCCCTCCTCCCCCTCCCCTCCTCCTCCTCCTCCTCCTCCTCCTCCTCCTCCTCTCCTCCTCCTCCTCCTCCTCCTCCTCCCCGTCCTCCTCCTCCTCCTCCTCCTCCTATACCCAAGGGCGCAGCCCAGGCCGGAACGCCTCGCCAGCCCGCCAGTGGCACGAGCCGCGGGCCCACGCCAGGCCGAGACACCGAGGGCCCGAGCCGACGAGGTACACTGGGTCGGCGCGCCAAGATTGAGCAGGGACCTACACTCGATCATGAGGTCTCGGCCCCCGGACTGCATCCCGACAGCGAGGGTCCCCCCCCCTCCCCACGAAACGCAGGGGCCCCCCACGATTGCAATCGGACCTGGGATAGACGAACATCTTGAGCAGGGACCGACCGTACCGTCATCCCTGTAGGCCTACCACGAGATGCTCTTAAACCCTCAAAATGCTCGAATAACATAAACAACGTTCTTAGAACATAAACCCGCTGTGTCAAAACAGGGCAGTCCCAGCCAGAAATGTTTTAAGAATATTTCGTTGAAGCCGCAAAATGTTCTTAGAACAGTCTTTGGTAGGCCTATAGGCGAGCCAGGACGCTTCGCCACTGCTTGAGCTCGAGCGAGGTGCTCTCGCTCGGGGGGATCTCGCTCCCCGCCCCTCCCAGCTTCAGCGAGCCCTAGGGCCCCACCTGCCTCTGCTCGGCGGCGACTAGATGGGCAAATAGCCCATGGGCGGGCATTACACGTATTCGTCCGGGAGCCTTGTCGAAGACATAGATCATCGGTGCCCCTGAACACATGTATTGCTCTCCCCTGGGCTATTCGCCCCCATCGTCACCTCTGATCTGCGGGGGACGACCACCCAAGCTCCGATGGCCGCCGCCGCGAGAGCTTGACGCCCAGGCCCCCCCCGAAACGCTCCTCCGGCTCCTCGAGGCAGCGCCACGGGAGCCCCTCGGAGGCGACAGGGATCGACCCCGAGGAACAGGCACCGCAAGCCGAGGAAACCGCCCCCGACCAGCCTGCGGCCCGCACCCCACTGCACCTGTCGTCCCCAGCGGCGTGGCCCGGGCCCCTCTGGCCGATTTACCCCCCTAGATGGGGATGTAATGTTTCGAGGGGTGTATCCCCAACTGGGGTGGTAATTTGGTGTGGTCTCGAAGGGGATGGAGATGGGGATAGGGATGGAGCTGGGGAAGGGGATCGGTTAACCGATGCCGATGTCGTCCACGGCCTCGGTCGCTACAACCGACGGCCCAGAGCAGACTACACACAAACCGCACCAACGAAACCTGACCGAATTTCGGTCCAGAGAGCGGCTCGTTTGGCAGTGCTGGCCACACACCAGCCAGTCTCGCCGTCCCTGTGCCGCCCAAGGTGAAGCTTGGGCCGTGGCGCCCGAGCGCGACGCCGCTTCCTTCGTCCACAGAGGAGCGAACGATTTCAAAGGTGGCGCGACAGGCCCACCCACTACGTCGAGTGATCCCCACAGAGCGATGCCCCCCACCCCCCCGGGGCCGAGCCCACATACGACCATCCATCACCCAGCTCGATCGCGAAGCCCACGAGGCGCCCACGGGCGGCAACATGGCGAAGCCTCGGCACACTCATCAAATGAAGTCAATGAAACACGAAACAAAACCCTAAGGGGAAACAATGTTGGAAGAAACAACACCCTTAGGCATCCATGCAAGACCCGTGAACGCTCAATAGTTCCAACATGATGGTCCGACGATTGAAATATGCACGTAAACCCTTCCCAACCGACTCCATCACTATGATAAATTCCACTGTTCCTTCATTGCCTCCCTCCAGTTCCTTCCACCTCCAACTTGATCACACCTACTCCCAGATCCAACGCACAAGTTGGATGGTCGCGGCCTCCAGGAAGCTCTTCTTTTTCAGATTATGGCCGAGGACCTTCATCTCCGCCAGCAAACTGGGCGCAGGGCGCGACTGCTCACCCAAAGCTCTACGATAGCACAACAACATTGTCTATACCCATCCAGGTGCAACCTCTCTTCCGGCCAGGAGGGTGGGCAGGAGCAGACGGGGAGGGCAACGCCAAAGAGGAGGAAGACTGCCAGGGGATAGGAATTGTGCGTGGGCAGTGGATGGAAGGAGGGAGCTCATCTGAAAGGAATCTTTCCGTACCCCGCATCTGCCTACTCGCGGCCTGCTGTCGCAACATATGCCTTTCTCCTTCGCACTCTATGCTTTCTCGTCTTCAGGCGCAGATGTCTGGGCCATTCGATCCCGGGTTTTTACGCCGCCCCCCCGGGGAATCCCGGAGCCCAAAAAAGCCCCAAGACGGGCCAAGAGTGCCCCAAGAGGCCCCCAAGACGATCCAAGAGGGCCCCGAATCGCCGAATGATCTGTCCAAGACGCCTTGACGGCCTCCAAACGGCCCAAGAGGCCTGCGAGACGCCCCAAGAGGCCTCCAGGACCGTTCCCACGAGAGCCCCAAGAGGCAAAAATCATGGATTTCCCATACGTTTTTCAAGAATTTTGGCGTTCTCGCCTCTTCCGCTTCCCCACGCGCCAAGACGGCCCAAGAGGCCCCCAAGGTCGCACCGAGACGGCCCAAGACGCCTCCAAGACGGCACAAGAGGCCCCCAAGACGGTTCCAAGAGAATGCCCAGACGGGGGACCCGAACGGACATTTCGAGCCCTCAGCCCCGAGAAGCCCCCAAGAGGCCCCCAGGAAGCCCAAAGAGGCCCCAAGAGGCTCCCAAGAGGCCCCCAAACATCCCCCCAGAGGCCCCCGAGAGCGCTCGGAAGAAACCCCAAGAAGCACGTTTGAGGACTCAACCCACGTCAGCATTGTCGTCGTCGCTACCGCCGCCGCCGCCGTCGTCGTTCCCCTTCAGGGTCGGCGGCACCGGCCGTAAGGCCTTCGCAATATTTCCGTACCCCGCATCTGCCTAGTCGCGGCCTGCTGTCGCAACATATGCCTTTCTCCTTCGCACTCTATGCTTTCCTCGTCTTCAGGCGCAGATGTCTGGGCCGTTCGATCACGCTATTATTGTCTCGCTCTTGTCCTCTTGGGTGTTTCTCGCGCTCGTTACAAAAAGAGGTCGTGTTGCTGAGGACTGCAACAGCCCCGCCGCTGATGTTTGCCTGAGGATGGGGGGCAAGAGAAGGAGACGGCTGGAGGCGGCGGCTGGGGGATCTGAACTGGCTGGGGCCCAAGAGAATCGGTCAGGACGGGGGATCAAACCGAATCCGTTCAAAATCGGTCCCTGGACCCCTCCGGGGGTCCATCTGGCGCAATCGTTCACCCTGGACCCGTTTTTCCCGAAAAGGGCTCCGGCCCAGGGTTCTCTTTAGAGGTTCGCCCCCGGAATCGACTCGAAGAGGGCCGGCGGAATCACTGCGCGACAGATACGAGGTAAAGTCTGATTTCTGTTTGAAAAATAAGTTTCGCGCGTGCCCGCTCGAGGAAAATGCGAGCCAGCGGAATTACTTGCGATAAAAACCGAGGTGAAATCTGATTAGTTTGTTGATTTCTGCTGTTAAAAAAAATTTGCGCATGCCCGCTCGAGGAAACTGTCCCCCCTATCTCGGATCCTCGATAAATAGCGGGCTCCGCAGTAAACACGCGTTTCCCCTTGTAGAAAAAACGGCTACGGAGCGTTTTGCGCAGGATCGACGATAAAAAGCTAGGTCTGGAGGCTTTGTAGTTTGGCACATATATATATATATATATATATATATGTAAGAACACAACAAAAAACGTTGCGTGCCCGCTCGAGGATGGCGCGGTCTCCGCGCCGAATATCTGAGGATGTCTCCAGCGAAACGCTTTTCTTGCAGAACTTGAGCTGCCCTGCCGCCCCAGGATGCCAGGTGGTTCTGGGAGCGCGGACGCAGCTTTTACTGGGGAACGTGGCCCTGGGAGCGGACACGGCGTAATTCACATGGGAGCGCGGCCCTGGGAGCGCGGACGCAGAGCAGTTTACGAGGGATCTTACGAGGGATCTTGGCCCAGGGAAAGCGGGCGCAGCGTAATTTACGAGGGATCGTGGCCCTGGGAGCGCGGACGCAGTGCAATTTACGATCAATATTGGCCTTGGGATCGCGAGCGCAGCGTAGTTTACGAGGGATCCTGCCCCTGGGGGCGCGGACACAAAGTAATTGACGAGAGATCGTGGCCCTGGCGCGGACGCAACATAATTTACAAGAGATCGTGGCCCTGAAAGCACGAACTCAGCCTATATTACGAAGGGATCGTGGCCCTCGGAGCGCGAACCCAATGTAATTTACGAGGGACCGTGGCCCTGGAGCGTGAATCCTGTGCAATTTCCAAACAGGATCGTTCCCCTGGGAGCGCGAATCCAGCGACATGTTCGAAGGACCGTGGTCTTGAAAGCGTGACCCCCGCGTAATTTACAAGGGATCGCGGCCCTGGGGGCGCGGACGCCGAGTGATTTACGATGGATCGTTGTCTTGGGAGCGCGGGAGCAGCGTAGTTTACGAGTGATCGTGGGCTAGAGAGGAGCGGACGCAGCGTCACATGCATACATACATACATACATGCAAGCACATACATACATACATACATACATACATACATACATACATACATACATACATACATACATACATACGTACGTACATACATACATACATACATACATACATACATACATACATACATACATACATACATACATACATTCATGCATACATGCATACATGCATACATGCATACATGCATACATGCATGCATACATGCATACATGCATACATGCATACATGCATGCATGCATGCATGCATGCATGCATGCATGCATGCATGCATGCATACATACATACATACATACATGCATGTATACATACAGTTACCCATGATTGCCTGCACACATGTATACACACATACACACATACAGACATGCATGCATCCATACATCCATACTTATATAATACATGCCTGCATACATACATACGTACTTGCCTGCTTGCTGCCAATGCCATCTACGATTACAACTTCTTACCAGCTTCAGGTGAACGTCACCTTCCTCGCAGATACCTAGCATTGGGATCGATTCGAGCATGTGCGGAGGAGGGCATTGCTCCACGATTGGAATCGCAAGCTATGGAGGCGAGGGCGGGGAACTAGGAATCGAACATGTAAACATGACCACCTCAGTCCTCCTCTCCCCCCTTCTCCTCATTGTGTGTCCCTCGTTTATGGGGGGGAAGGGGAGGAACCAGGTGGATCTGTATGGTTACCCTTCCCCGATGAATTGGTCCCGAAGGCTTGCGCTACGGCGGCCATGGTCACTCACAACAAACGCCTTCCACGGCACAGGGGCAAATCTTGCGCCCTCCAGATCGCCTACATGCCCGAGCGGTAGCTGAGCGGCTGTGCACCGAACATATCGGCTACTACGCACGTGTTTTGTTCCTTGGCGCCTGCCCACGCGAATCGCTACGGCCAGATAGCCCGCAAAACCATCAACTGGGCACAACAAAACGCAAGAACATGACCAAGGGGCTCCAGGGAAATCGATACCAGAAAATCGATGTACTGAACATCGGGGTTTTAAGAATGCCTTCGGATGGCCTCGAAAGGGATTCTGCGATTGCACAGAACAAAGGCAAACACATGGGCACCGCGGATCCGAACTCGGATCCCGCTTTTTCCCTTTGCGCCGCCAGCGATCTAATCGCCGTCGCTGTCCAATGCAGTAGGGGCTCGACCTTCTGTGGAGCGCAAGGCAACACGGACAGAGCTGGCCACATCGCAACACCGACCAATGCAGCCCGACCTGCGCGACCGCGCGACAGCGCGACGCATTCGGCGGTGGCCAAACCTCCCTTCAGCAAACCACCATTTCGTGGAAACGCCCTAAGACCGAAACCGACGGACCTGGACCCGCAAAAATGACGACCGCGACGCCCTCTCGCGAACCGAAAGCGGCCGATTCGCTAATCGACGTGTCGGGGTTAAGAGGTCTATCAACCTCCGACGCATGACGCCGACGCACGCTCCGGAGCGGCGCGGGGCACGCCTCAGGGCCATCTCCCAGTGGCCTGCCCGTCCCGCCGCCTGCCGCAAGCGCGCGGGCGCCCCCCTCTCCCGAGCCACGTCCGGAGAACAGGAACAGGGAAGAGCGGCACCACCATCAGGTCGGACATGTGGCCCTACAGGCGGATTTCGAGGGAAAAATGCAAGATGCCCCCAAAATGCCCCCCCCCAAAAAATCAGAATGGTCAAAACAAAAATCGTCCCTGTACTCTTTTTGACTATTTTTGAGTGTTCCTCCTGTAGAGGGACAGGCCCGACTTCACCATGGGGGGTTCCTCTCATGGCTCCTCCTGGGGTCGTGGTCTCCCCTCGCCGCTCGAGGCTCCCCCCACGCGCAGCTCGGGGAAGCCTCGTGGGACTCTTCGCCGGAGGCTGCACCCCCAGAGGTGGTGTCGCTTCTTCCTTTGAACAGGGAGAAAGAGGGGCATGGAGAAAGAGGACGGAAGAAGAGGAAGAATAAAGAAAGAAGGAGATGGATATGGAGATGGAGATGGAGGAGGAGGGGCATTTTGATGTGCTCCGCTGTCTGCGGGCCTGGGACCTTCGTCGCCGCGTCTGCATGCTCCTCGAAACTTCTGGTGGGAACGCGCCTGGGGACAGGTCCGGGGGTCGGGCGAGAGGGAAACGAGGGAGGAAGGAGCGGAGGATTGGGGGCAGGAGGAGGTGGAGTAGGAAGAGTAGTTTTGGTATCGCCCGTGGAGGCGACTGTCCCGAGTCCAGGCAGCCCCCCCTTGCCGCAGCTCCTGCCACCTGTGCGAAGTGCGGCACTGGATTCAGGTTGCTCCCATCTTACTTACGCACCACATCCCAGAAATAATTTCGAGCACCCAGAAAAGTATCGAAACAATGTCGAACGAGTATCGCCTCCAGGGGCCCGACACGTGAAAACCCC